TTTTCCCTCTTTAGATGATATTTCATCAAGATCCGAAGAAAAACCGATATGAAACTTCATCGCTCAAAATAAACAGGGCAAGCTAAATGAAACCGTTTTAAAAACAAAGTCAAATTCGAAAGAAGAAATTCGCGTTTACCATCGCACTTTTCAATAATGGAACCCTTCCCAGCTCTATTTTTAAAAAGTGCGCGACAAATCCTTTTTTCGAATTTATTTTGTTTTTATGATGAGGTTTCATGTCGGTTTTTCTTACATCTCTCTCGGCTCGATAAGGCCGGCCCAGCCCACGTGGTGGGTCAACGGCTGCCCCACTGTTCGCGCAGAGTTCACCGAACGACGCACACTGGAAGTGACGCACACGTATACACTGCGATCGAGTAAGGCCTGTTTCGCCGCGACTCCTTACTAGCTATGATATTAATACCTCCTTGTTCTTGCTCTCGTGTAAAAAGATCGGTTACGTTCTGCAATGAAACCTCTTTGTGTTCAAAAACTTACTAGCTTTCCAACAAAACGAAATGCGATTTTCCTATTGTTTCTAAATTACTACTTGAACTTCTGCTATAACCTAGCATTTTCAATAAAATAATCGTATAACTAGTTTATTTGAGAGAATTCTCTTACACATTTCCGTATTGCATGCCTTTTGTATGACATTTGCAAGAAAACCTCTTTTTTTTTTCAATTTTGAACACTGATGTCATGATTCCATTCCCTTCGAAAGAAAAAACCCCAAAAAAGATTGTTCAACTTTTGAATGCTTATAGAAATGACGTTAGAATCTTTTTCGTTATCTTTCTACTTAGTTTTTCTCGTTTCGCATTTTTTATCAACGACACGAGTATGTATCTTTGTGCTTTGTCGTTGACATCATCTTTATTTTGTCTATAGGCTGACAAGTGCGATTTTAATCGCGCGTGATTGTAAAGCTATCCATTAAGTCTATGCTAATGTATAACTAAAGGTAATTTGAATACAGTAAACATGATTCATTGATTTATTAGCCATGACATCATAATATGATGGATCGATGTTTTAATTTCACCTCTCCAATAAGACAAGTAATTTTTTAATTCATGAGCAGACTTCGTAAGGAAAGAACGGTACTTTGACACTAATAAAAAGCTATTTTTGCAGTATCAATACAATAACGTCTAATATTAGGATGTTTTTAGCAAGTTCCGTGAATGTCTATCAAATCAAACTGATGAATATAATTTTTGATAGCAAAAAAGTGATATTGATTAATTTATTGAAAGGTGATGAAACCTTACAATCATGAGAGGTTGGGCCTAGTATATTTTAAACTCTGTTGGGATAGGAACATTTACCTTACAGAAATGAACAGGAATAAACCATAGAGTACGAAACCAGCGCTCCGCTCGACTCCACGTATAAGTAAAGTGAAATGCTTAACTTATTGTTTTTAATGAATCATGTTATTCCTTAATGTACGCAAAAGTTACGGAAAATATAACACTGGCAATGTATTTATAAAAATAAAGCAGGAAGCTTCCAAATTTAAATTATTACATGCATCGTTCCTAAGCATTTAAATTAAATATGGAACGTTTTAGACGTTTGGAAGAAAAACATTACATTGACATGCCTGTTGCGTTCCGGTCGTCAAATTACTGGTTCCCACATAATATACTATCGTGTTAGATTATAATGCGTGGTGAGACGTAATCAATGATTTTATTTACAGGATTATTTAAAACAAATATAGATAAATTATTAACGTGTTTGTTGCTAACTTCCTTATACAGACGGAAAAATGCTATCAAGTCCCTAGCCTACAGCTTAATTTTGTTAAGTATTCTTAAATACTCTCGTCGTCTTAACGACTGACTGGTAAATTTCACTGTTACTTCCGAAATTGCTGTTACTTCCGAAGAAAAACTTACGCTAAGCGCTAAATATATAATACCATATATTTGAAGGACTAATTGCGGGAGACAATTTCATTTTTGTTTATTGATCCTGTGAATAACTTTCTCAGCTTCGTAATACTCGTTAATTCAATAAAAATATTTTGAATCAAAACTGTAACATAAAATATATTAATATGTCTTCTCTTGTTCTCTTCTTGTCAAAATAGTTGTTTTACTGTTCTAATGAATTCAAATGTTATCATTAAGGAAAAAATAATCCTTATGATTTAACCCTTTCGATGGTTATCATAAAATGTCGTATGTTGTAGCAGGCGCCTGAAAAAAAATGTGAATGCAGTTCTAGTTATTATTAAAAATAAAATGATGTCTTCTTTCAGTCATATTTTATTATTTATCTTCAATATTTAATATAGTTTCCCTCCGTGTGACAAACCCGTGGCATGCCCTGTATAGGTAGTTATGTATGAAGTCAATGGAATAAATAATCTTTTTTTGTAGTATGCCTTTTGAGGTATTATGTGACTATATCTAGCAGAACAATACATCCCACCAAAAACATTTTCATGCCAGACGAGAGAGCCTTGTAGAGTCCGAAGCTCGCTGACTCTACACGCCCTAACTATATAAGGCCTAACTTCACAAACTCTACGCTATAGTCAAAATACGTGGTTTGGGCGTTTTTTTACCACCAAAACTAATGTTTAACAGAAAAGTAATGAACAAGAGATATATTTTTCACTTTAAGCACATGTGAATGTACCGAAATGGGCAAGCCTGTCTCCCAACTTTATAATTTGTCGCATATACGGATATGTATCGAAAACTCGAGAACAGTACGAACCAATATCGATTTCGAATTCGAATAGTTTGCAAGTGTGAAATGTCATTGTCAAATGTATACTGATTATTAGTTCTCGTTGCGCCCGTTATGGCGCTGCTTTTCAAGTTTCCATACAAAATTTGACATTGACATTTAGCACTAACAAACTATTCGAATTCGATAATGGTTCGTACTTAGGGTACTGTACCCCTAGCATGAACCATTATCGAATTCGTAACATTTTCGAGTGCGAAATGTCATAGTCAATTGTGTACTGATTATTATTAGTTCTTGTTAAGTCCGTTATCGCGCTGCTGTTTAAGTTTCCCTACAAAATTTAACAATGACATTTCGTACTCGAAAACGTTAAAACTAAGGGTGCAGTAAGTGTAAGTAACAACATCCGTGTTGTTTTTCTGTTGATCAGCTAGGTTCTATCTAGGGCTCCATGGGGTGGGGGATTGGGTTTAGGTCGAAAAGGTTGGGATAGCTAAAGCGACATACATTTCTGTAGAATTAATAAGCAATTTGGTGCGCTTTTAAAAACAAATATGGATCCTAGGCTCATGCAAGAATTTAGATTGTATTCTGACTTACTTATTGGAATCTCATAAAACTCAAGGTAAATGTCGTAATTATTTTTTATGCAGTGTTTCTTGATAGGTAATGAGGAGCTCGATGGCGCAGGTGGTTAGCGCGTTTGGTCTGCAATCGTGGAAGTAAAGTAACTTTCGCAATGTTCGGTCATTGGATGGGTGATCGAAAACATATTTTTCTCGAGCTCGAGTGTTTTGGATGCTAAACTGTTGGTCCCGACTGCGTCTGCACTCGTTATCACCCATTGATCAGCACTAGTCCCACGTGGTTCGTCATGGCCTAATCTCCCTATGAAATCCATAGGGAAGGCTTGTGCCCCAGCAGTGGGGACATTAATAGGCTAATGAGGAATGTCGTAACTATTTTCTATGCAGCATTTGTAGATATCTCCCGTATCAAAATTGGAAATATGAAGTCTGACATGGGATCACTTCAACAGTATATAATACGAATTCCATTCATAGCAATGAACTAAACTCTGTACAAATGACACCGCTAAGTGTCATAGAGTTAAAAAAGAACTAGTTCTTATAGATCAGTGTTAAGGTCGATTTCGGCTTGGCGAGTGTAATAACTATAAGTTTCGTAGTAGGTACTTTGCACGTGGTCTCGAATCGATAGGTCGTTCGCTTAGAGAGAGAAAGAGAGGACTGTGTGACGTCACTGTCTCTCTCAGTCGCAAGGTCGCCGTCTTCCCACATAGGTTATTTACTCTTGTTTTTTTCCGGGTGAAATTTTTTGGGAAACCCCTCGTTATAGACTAAAAGAATCGTCTGAAGAAAATTAGGTATCACCGTAAGATAAAATCATTGTAGTTACTATTTAAGAAATCGCGTGTCACCTCTTTATTATATCCGTGAGATTTTTTTTTTTAATTATTTACTGTAGCTTCTGACTTTACTAAGCTATACTTCAATGAATACGTTATATAAATAGCTTAAATGTAACTAATATTGTTGAGTTACACTATTAATGAATTGATAATGATAATGACCACAATCATACCTACAATACTGATATCCATGCACTGTAAAATACTTATATCGCCAATGAACATATCTTATATTAAATAATTTCATATTTGTCTACGCATATATGCGTATACTATTTTTATAGTCTATAATACAATGATCGGTATATATATACATTGTTTCATTTTAATTTCTAAACTTTGCCAACCCTGCAACGCTGGGAATCGAAAAATAGAAATTGACGCGTCATTTTAGAACATTCCTATTTTAAAAATAACCAATCCACGATGATACACACGCGTTTTAAATTATTTATAAATCAGTTCTTGATTAATCTTTCAATTTTGCAAACGAAACAAATGAAGTATAGGCCCTTTAATGGCAACGCGTAGAGAAGTAAATAAACTTGCGAACTATTCGCGGTTGACAACATATTTTCCGGGGTCAATGACACGAAGAAGCCCATAACATAGCAGACAGAGCGCGCGCGGTAAATAATGGAATAAATAAAAAAAAACGGATTATTTGAATAGGTACTAAAAATTCCATTACTAGGCGCCGCATAGAAAAAAATATCTAATATCCAAATTCAAAAATTTGAATTCGTCAAAATTCGCGCGCGCGAAGGAGTTTCGCTCCGACTCGAAACTAGAGTTCAACAGCATTTCACCGAAATCTACTTTGTTTGGGTCCTGGGGTCAATGAACCGTGTGACGCCGGCTCGTCTGTGTGCTGTTATACGCGGCGTACGAGACATCGTCGCACGCACACACACACACAATACTGTATATTGAGGCGATTTTGTTTCTTAATTACTCAATAACCTTAAACATTAGCGACCTGTAAATTTAAATTTGAGTCATTAAAAAGGTCACCTTTTGATAGGTATGATTTTTTTTTCTTAATAATCATCTATGAAGATTTTTTTTCCGAGTGCGGGGCGACTGAACTATCACTATGAGTTGATTATACGGCCGGAGTGAAAAAATATATAATTTTTTCGTGAGCCCCGAAGATTCGTCAATGCGTCAGTCACGATCGGACCGCTTTAACGTTAACAGCTCAGTTTACGTCGCGTTCCCGACTTGTGCACAACCCATAGTACAAAGTTAACGTACAAATTTTTCCCAGCAGTGAGGTGCGAGAAACAGTGACAGTGCCTTGAAAGTGCAGTGACAAAAAACAAACGGAACGTAGTGGCTAACGATTTATTAATTGTGATCCACGTAAATTTGGACGAGATTTTAGATATCTGAACGCGACGTTCGGTTAACTAAAATCAATTCAGTTTACAAAAATTGGGATTGGCATTCTGGATTGAATTTCTCCTTTCAAATTTCAAAAAATGAAAAAGTTTAATCTTACGTAAAACTTTTCTTCTGCTCTCGTTTTCTTTTTGCAGATCTTTTTTGTGTTATATTATTAAGTTCTACAACCAAACAGTATACGGGAACAAGTGAAATAATTAATTGTTACAATATATACAGTGCCTTATATAGAAGTTTCGAAACAGAAAAAGGAGAAACACACAGCAACCACGGAAGCAAAATGCGAGACAATTTGTTGTTGTTCAAAAAATTAATAGCGGAAATTAATTTTGCGAAAAGAAATCTCACTTCACCGCTCGGCCGGAATATATACATTAGTTAAAAAAGACTGGTGCTCATACAACCAAGTTGACTAAAAATCGGGTGCCATAAAATTTTCTAAAAATCTTATGGTCGCAAACACAACCCGAGGAATAGTTGCCTTACCGACATAGTCGAAATAAACACATCCGTTAAAAGAAAAATACAAAAAAGATAACACCAAAACATACAGTGATATTAGCGATAATGCGAATCGGATTCGCGAAAAGGAACCATTTCATAACTTAAAAAACAAAAAAAAAAACAAAACAAACTTTTTAAAAGGAAATCTTAAAAACATTTTTAAAATTGGAACTATGAATAACAGTCAATTCCATGAGTTGTTCGGTTCGCAATGGCCGCCTGATCAGCATGGCGGCCATTCCTCCGCTTCGACGATGCTGCACCAGAACCACCAGACCCAGGGTATGCCCCAAGGTATGCAGTTGAAGAGGGAACCTGAGGTCCAGGGTGTGATGCACAACCAGATGGGCATGGACATCACTTCGGGATCGGTTGCTGATAGCACTTCTCCACCACCTGGTAGCAGTGAAGGGATGTTTGGGTCCTCAATATCCGGCATGTTTATGGACAAGAAAGCAGTCAACTCTATCAGAGGTATTTTTGAATTTAGAATTTTTTTAGTTCCAAAAAGTTTCTAATGTAATTTTAATTGTTTTACAGTATCCGTTATCCATAGATACTTAATACGCGATGCTAGGTTTAGGAATGAATTTATTTCATACTTTCCAGCTTTATTTCAAGTGGTATTCGCATTAGGTTTTTAAAACATCTCAAATTTTAAGTCGTAGCTTTTAGCGAGATAATAATCATTGCCGAAAAACGCTACGACGCTACGGGTTGCTACGGCAGCTACGGATGTGTAGCAGGCCGAATTTGCAAACAGTTTCCGGTTAGGGGGAAAATTTTATCAGAATGCAATATTATGAATTAGTATTAAAGCTTCAGTAATTTGTAGTTCCCGTGAATTGACCCCAATTTGAATAGAGGAAAAGTCTTACTAATGTTATTATCTCCGGACCGTGTCCTAATTATGAATGACGTTGAAGATTTTCCTAGTATTCCTCGTTAGGTTTAGGAATCAGGTGGATTTTCGATTTTAATATTTTAGAATAATTGTAAGAAAATGCTGAAATATACCTTAGTCTAGAAATAGGTAAATTTCAAGAGTTCTCAGATTTAAAAACATACCGTTGTTTTTGATACTTGTATTCATATAATCTTTAAATTGGAGTTGGAATTTAATAAAAAGGTTTTTATGGATACAGGCAAAGCTACTTTCTGATTCAAATTTATTTTTAATTATGGCTAATAATTAAAAATAAATATGAATATTTCCAACACTCACACAAATTAGCCTAGCCCCAAAGTAAGCACTGTAAGGCTTCTGTTATGCGATACTAGGGTAACGGATAGAATACATATACTGATGCATATATAAGTATATTTATGTAGAAATACATATTAAACATCCGTGACTGGAGTACAAATGCTCGTCTTCATCACACAAACATCTGCTCCGACATCTGCGACTCGAAACCAGGACCTCTCAAGTAGGCGACACGCTGAAACCCGGCGTTCATACCACTCGGCCAAGCAGGTGGTCAAATCATAATGTTTAAAAAATATCTAGCTATGTCACGGTTAGCTGTAAAAACGATATAATTAAAATAGGTGGCCCATGAATCCTCATCACTTATCTGTTCTCGTGAGTACTCGAAATCTGACAGGCTCGGTTTTCATACAATTTGAAGTACATTTGGCGGCAATTTATTTTTATACAACAAGCTAGTCTTTCCTTGCAAAAAATATCTATGTAGAGAATTCATTGTCTCTTTTAATAATGCAATTTGACACGGTGCATCGTTTGATGTTGTTACGTTATAATACGGTTCTGTGTACCGTAGTTACGGTTCCGTGGGATCTTCGTACTACCAATGTACGGTATAACGTGAACAGAGATTGAATCCCATAGTTTTTATTGGCACAGTATTATGTGTTGACCTAGTCATAACGGCATGAGAACTTTTACTTGCTGAATAAAAAAAGGTTTTTTCTTAACTTAATAGACATGTACTTATGCGTTGAAAAATATAACCCTCTTTTATTCGTCGTCAAGTAAAATATTATGAAGACAATGAAAGATCTGTGAACTAAGAGTCCTTTAGTAGATATTTGACTTTTGTTCTTTAATGGCCATATTTTTTTGCACGTTTTTTATTATACAGATAAATGATTTTGATATATTATGTCAATATTTTTTTTATTAGTGCGTAATAATTTTGTATTTTGTATGAGTTTAGAATACGTACCTGTCCCAATTAATGAACAAATTATATCAATTGAATAAATATTGCTATCGTTTTGTGTGCATCATTCAAATATACAAAGTTCATCTAGATTACGGTAGTAAGTTTGTCTATTGTATAAATAGTATTATCAGTTATTCATAACGTACTTAGACAAAAAGGACATTGGTACATAAAACTAACATTAGAGATTAAAAAACATAGAATTCATAGCAAATAAATGTTTGTTTATTCCACATTCACGATAATATAATGAAATGAAATTTTGACTGTTGTCAAAAATTTGTTAAAACATCAAATGTTTTTTGTTAATGTTTCTTTTTGGAATAAAAAGTTTCAATTAGACTTTGGGGCTAATATAATTATTCTTCATTTAAATTAGAGGTACTGGCCAACTTTTTAAAATAATAAATAATAATAACAGGGCAAGTTCTATTTTAAAAATTATTTTTTTATATATTCTTCAAAGCGCCAAATATATGTATGGATTTGACAGTCTCGTTGAGTATTAATCAGTAGAGATCCATTCAAATAAGTTTATGTAGATAATTATAAAAAAAACTACAGTATCCTTGCCCATTATGTGTCATGCGCGCCCAAAACCAAATTATATACTTAGTAGTAGAGTATTAATTATCTATGTGCCCAATTGAATTTAAATGTTTGTGCCCCAAATGATAATTTTCCGCTATTAACTTAAGTTATTTTCTTTGTTCAAAATTTGTGTTAATTGTTCGTAAATTTGGGTTAAAAAGGCTGATTGCAAGCTCAGATTCAATATAGTAGTATATTAATTAATTAAAAATGTGTTTTGAACTCTTCTGAAGTGATATTAAAGTTGAACGTAAAAATCGTACCCAAAATATAATGATAATCAGGAATTTAATCGGTATTAAAAACAACCACAAAAATAAATAAACAAGCATCGTTTTTACGTCAAAGAAAACATAATTATGCATATGTATACAGTTACTAAATTTTATGAAAAGTCAAGGCTTCTTTTAGCTTACTGACTTAAAATTTGAAAAAATAGTTGATAGGATCTAAATTGTTGAAGTAAAACTTCTTTCCGGGCGGGGCGTAAATGGAAAAATCCTGTGGAAAAGATGAAACGGAAATGCGTCACGAGCGTCACATGATAGTTGGAGGGTAACTCGGCGAAGGCAGAAACACGAGATAACATATATATATATATATATATGCGATGCATGCGCTGCTCCGTTCCCCTGTGCCTTATGCACCACCAAATGTAAGGTTATTTAAGAAAAGATGTTTCATTTCTGATGTGTGGTGCGCACATTTTTTTAAACAATTAAAGCTGTATTGCTACTTGCTTAGATAAGGGGGAAAAATATATAAAATATATATATATAAATATAAATATATAATTGGGACTGCATAGCTGCTATAATTTTATGGTACTTATTAGCAATTTACTCAATGTTGTGTAACTTGAGATCACTGAGTTGAGTAAAATTTTCACATAATATTTCATTAATAGTATGTTTTATACATCTCTATATTTTTGAGATTTTATAATTATAAATTACTGGCAATATAAAACCGAAATACTTTTAAGCTCTCAATTAAATGTGACATATTATATATTATAGTAGACTGGGATTTGCTTATTCTAAGCATAGTGCTTGAGTATTGTTGTCTTAATTTTAAGCGTGTGTTGCATCAACTTACTTCAACTGTTCAGCTGCAACTTATAAAGTACTGGTTAAGTATAAATGGCAAGGCAAGGGCTTATGAATAGGTACTACCAGAAATTCAGGTATACAATATGTATTTTAGGTAAAAATTCAGAATTTGTTTGAATAACCAAAAACACATAGTATTGTCCAAGTAAGTACTCACAACATTTCGTGTATTTCATTACTTACGTAGGTACTTACAGTAATTTGATAGCAAGCAGTTTGTTGATCCTCTTTCCCTTTTCCACGGCCTTTCTTTACCTTATAACCAACTTTATTTTAATCAGGTTACAGTTGATTTCTGTTCGTGTCGGGGATGCACTTATTACGTTTCACAATGGCATGCACAATCCACGTGTCTTTATGGAGGGGTCATTGCACTTGACATACTTGCACTATGACTCTGAATAGCTTTTTTTTCTTACAAAGCGGGTTACTTTGTTTTGTTAAGACCATTGTTAGGTTGGATTTAGTGACGTAATTTTTTTTAAATATTAAAACGTGTTTTTAGGGTGTTTTAGTCCTGACAAGGAACCCTTATAGTTTCGTCATGTACTACGTCTGTCTTTGCATCCTCGGTTTTGCTTAGAGACTGTTAGTACTAGAGAGCTGTTATTTTGTGGAGATATGTATATCAATCATACTGACAAAATGGTAGAATAAAAGTTTTTTTTTTAGGGTAGCTCTCACCTATGTGTAACCTAGAGATGATTTTATTTTTTCATCGTCTACCCCATCGAGTAGGGTTTCGTTGAATAGATCCTTTAAAATTACTTAGGTGTTTCTAAGACTATTTTCGATTTGGGGATCTTTTTGTGAAATATTGGACTTTAACGTGCTTAATTTTATTCGTGTAGGGCGTCCCCCCCCGCCCCTCTCTAGAAGCTAAACTATTGGCTTGAAAAACCTGGAAAAATTCGTGATAAAAGTGCTTTTCATGATCTTTCAAGGAAAAGCATAATAAGTAAAATAGATCAGTTAGTTTAATAGTAATAGTCGTTCAACTTATGTATTATAAAATTTGTGATCTAATAAAAAAATCTTAGAAGAAAACATTAAGTGACAGACGAAGTAAATGCTTAAAATATAGACACTTTCCAAAATATATTGTGGTGACGACGAGTAACTACGATACCCTACACTGCGTGTGGCACTACACGGCCGGTTTTTTTGAGTTATTGTATTGTTAGAATGAGCTTTTAAACCGCTAATTTGGGAATTTAAAGAAACTTTTGTTAGGAAAAAACCGTGCGAGTTGCGAACAGCATCAAGTCCTGACTGTTACTCGGAACAAGAAAAAAAAATTCAAAGATTGTTTAGACTTTTAGTGGCTTATAAACCAGAAAATTAAAAAGCAAGATTAGGTTGACTCATCAATTTTATTATCTTTTAAGTGATATATTTTGTCAGACGCCTCCTGCGCTAAATGAGCTTGTCTAATAAATTTTCGGGAGTCATCCGCCGGGCGATATAAGTAAATTGGTCGCGGGTTCAAGGCTGCTGTGAGTTAATTCGATGATCCGTTCACCTTAGTTACGTGTTAAACGTTGGTAAACACGAAACATGCTATTTTTTTACAATACTTACA